TTTTTAACAAATAAAAAACTGAAAAATGGGGCGTGCAATATTATTCGGCCCCCTTGCGTTAATACTTTGTAGCGCCGCCTTTTGCTGCAGTTCCAGCTGCAAGTCTCTTGGGGTTTGTCTCATCAGTTCTGCCCATTCTTCTTTGCAAAACAGCTCGAGCTCAGTGAGGTTGGATGGAGAGCGTTTGTGAACAGCAGTCTTCAGCTCTTTCCACAGAGTCTCGATTGGATTCAGTTCTGGACTTTGACTTGGCCATTCCAAAACCTGGATACGTTTATTTGTGAACCATTCCATTGTAGATGTGTCTTTATGTTTTGGATCATTGTCTTGTTGGAAGATAAATCTCCGTCCCAGTCTCAGGTCTCTTGCAGACTCAAACAGGTTTTCTTCCAGAATGGTCCTGTATTTGGCCCCATCCATCTTCCCATCAATTCTGACCATCTTCCCTGTCCATGCTGATGAAAAGCAGCTCCAAACCATGATGCCACCACCACCATGTTTGACAGTAGGGATGGTGTGTTCAGGGTGATGAGCTGTGTTGCTTTTACTCCAAACATATCGTTTTGCATTGTGGCCAAACAGTTTGATTTTGGTTTCATGTGACCAGAGCAGCTTCTTCCACATGTTTGGTGTCTCCCAGGTGCTTGTGTCAAACTTTAAACAACACTTTTTATGGATATCTTTGAGAAATGGCTTTCTTCTTGCCACTCTTCCATAAAGGCCAGATTTGTGCAGTGTACGACTGATTGTTGTCCTATGGACAGACTCTCCCACCTCAGCTGCAGATCTCTGCAGTTCATCCAGAGTGATCATGGGCCTCTTGGCTGCATCTCTGATCAGTCTTCTCCTTGTTCCAGATGAAAGTTTAGAGGGACGGCCGGGTCTTGGTAGATTTGCAGTGGTCTGATACTCCTTCCATTTCAATATGATTGCTTGCACAGTGCTCCTTGGGATGTTTAAAGCTTGGGAAATATTTTTGTATCCAAATCCGGCTTTAAACTTCTCCACAACTGTATCTCCTGCCTTGGTCTTCATGATGCTCTCTGTGCTTTGAACAGAACCCTGAGACTATCACAGAGCAGGTGCATTTATACGGAGACTTGATTACTCACAAGTGGATTCTATTTATCATCATCAGTCATTTGGGACAACATTGGATCATTCATAGATCCTCACTGAACTTCTGGACTGAGTTTGCTGCACTGAAAGTAAAGGGGACAAATAATATTGCACGCCTCACTTTTCAGTTTTTTATTTGTTAAAAAGTTTGACACAACCAATAAATTTCATTCCACTTCACGATTGTGTCCCAATTGTTGTTGATTCTTCACAAAAAAATTAAAATTTTATATCTTTATGTTTGAAGCCTGAAATGTGGCAAAAGGTTGAAAAGTTCAAGGGGGCCGAATACGTTCCTTGAGCAAGGCCCTTAACCCCCACCATCTGCTCCCCCGAGCGCCCTGGATGGCAGCTCTTTGCTCCACACAGAGGGCTGTGGTAGCTCGGTGGTCTGAGGTTGTGTCAGGAAGGGCATGCAGCGTAAAAATAATTGCCAAGTCTTTGTGTGAGTTATTCGCTGTGGTGACCCCTGAAGAAGGGAGCTCCTGAAAGAAGATGTATTGTAGTTTAATTTTACCACCAATTAAATATCTGACATCTGATTAATGAGAATTTGGCAAAATATTTTTCATGCAGATTTTTTTAATTTTGCAGTGCATCTTCCATCCTTGTCTTAAATTTCTGATGAAGGATCCTGGAATTTGTTTTAGTAATCCACCTACTACTTTTTCCCGTCCAACATTTTTGCAGTTCTGAACGAAATCCTGCACCCAGCTGATAAATAAATGAATAAACACAGCCCCACATTATGATGATGCCACCACCGTGCTTCACTGTGGATATTCTGTCTCAGAGGGGGGCGGGAAACTTTACGTTAATTAGCAAATGTTTACTTTTATAAATCCACAGTTTTTTTTTCTATTAAACCTTTGAATTTATTTTAATAGAGAATGACAGCAAAATACAGCAGAATGGTCATCAAGAGCTGGCAACCCATAATAAATGAGAGAATAACTCAAACCCTTATAAGTTAAGAAAACTGTGCCACTTGAGAGTTTTGTCCTGGAATCAGCAACATCCGGTGATGACAGAATTTATATTAAAATCTAAGGATGGAGAAATTCCTGTCTGATTCCGTCACCGTGACACATGTCTGATGCACAAGTCTTCCCAGCTGAGTTCGTGGAAATTAATTTTTCCACAGCGCCCGAGAGAAAAGGGAATGATAGGATCCAGGTTTGTTGCGCAAACATTCCGTCTCTTCAAGGTGAGGCGCGCGCCGCAGCGAGTCCGGACCGGCCCTGCAGACTCCTTACGGTAAATATGAGTAAAAACTGCGTCCAATGAGCGCGTCAGCACGTGAGAGGGCGACTCTTTAAAACTCAAACATGTGAGTTTACGCACTCAGTGTGCGCGCTTCCCCTCTCTCTCTCTCTGTCTCTCTCTCTGAGCTCCTCCTGTCTTCATGTTGGACACGTTTGGGACACAGAGCGCCGGTTTGACCATCCCGCACGCGGAGCTGTCGGACACCAAGAGGAGCCTGACATCTGCAGGGCTGGGGATGGACAAGAGCACCGGGGAGAAACTTGTGTTCATAAGTGGACCCATTTTATCCAAAAAGAAACTTCTGGTCGTCTTGGATCTTCTCTGCCTCTTCCTGGGTAAATAAAACAAACACGGAGCGCATGAGAGTTAGGGCAGCATCAGCTGTAGACACGAGGAGAACAGGTCCAGGGAGATCCTTCAGGAATCAAACTAAGGGCGCAGAGAAAATACAATATATAGGAAAGATGTCACAAATAGGGTTGGTATCCAACACTCATTTCTAATTTTAAAGAGCTGAATGCAAAGAGCAGACCTCATGGGTTTTATTTATCCAAGTTGAGATGAAAACTATCTCTTCCATCATCCCCCCAAGAAGACATGATATTATCCGTCACTTAAAATCACGCGTTTAAAGCTGCAAAGCTTTTTTCTCAGTGATTTATTATGATTTAATGCAGACGTGGGCAACTCAAGGCCAGACATGACTGTTGGACAATCTCCATGAGACCTCCAATATCCTTAGTTTTAAAAAACAAAACTTTTTAAATGAAGATTTTTTTATTTTTAAAGCACTAATTTATCGATGAGCCTTAAGGACATTTAAATTAAACATCTTATGCAAAACTTAATATATATATATATTTAAGTCATTGTGTTTCCAGAACTGGACTGAACCTTAAAGACGTAGAAACACAAATATATATAAGTTTGTTTTGCATAGTTCCACTAACATGTATAACACGTTACGCTAACGTGTTATACATGTTAGTTTAACATGTTAAATGTATAACACGTTACGCTAACATGTGTAATGTACTTTATTTTTTGGACTATGAGACGCATTAAGCAAAACAAAAATGTTTTTTACAGATTGTTGAGCGCCGTGTATCACATACATGTTCGAGGTCACTCACAACCAGAATTAACACATAAGGTGCACCTGATCACAAGACTCACTGTTGATATTTGAGAAAATGAAAGGATTTTAAGTGTCTTATAGTCTGAAATATACGGTATTGTCACAAGAGTCAGTTTACAGAATATGTCTTATAAAGACTTATTTTATAAAGCATGCTAACTATGCTACAATAAGGAAAACATCTACTTTATCTGCCATAAAGAAAATGTATTTTTCAATTCTCTATGAGGCCATTTGATTGACTTGATGTGGCCCTTTGGAAAACAAATGTCGCCCACGCCTGGTTTATTGTATTTTAGTCTTTCATACAGACCATACAAATCTAAATTATCTGCTGAATGTTACCAGCACTGATTAAGGCTAAGTTCTACAGCAGTATTTTTACATTAACTAACAGCTGTACTTTATATTTTCTGATAGTTAAATAGTTATTTTCTTGCCATTTACTTTCATTATGACATATTTCTCCTTAACTGGACAGCCAATCTTACCATTTTTAACTCAGGGCACTGAAATATATCGTGTATTAGTGATTTCTTTATTTATTTTTTTTCTCCCAGTCACTTCACACAGTTTACGTTTTGTTCTGGTTTACTTCCCTTCCTTCTGTTGGACAACAGAGACAGTCAGCTGATGGAAGCAGGACGACCTTGTGAGCAGAGAAATCGTTTTATGTTTGAGTTTGATGACAATAAGTTTAGAATGAATGAGGAATTAGGAATAAACGTCTCACTTTCTCCTGTTACGTGCACGCTCTCCAGCTCTCGTACCAGCTGCTTTGTGCATTGCCTGGGGACTTGTGCAGTTTCCATGACAACATCCTGGTTCTCAGGGTAGTCAGGCCAGAGGGAATTCAGTTTGGTATGAATAAATAAATTGACGACCCATGAGTACTAAGTTTTTTGTGTATCTGCCCTGACCATTACTCTAATTGCTGACCCACCATCTGGGGGTCCCTTTATGACACGAAAGAGTGGTTATATAATATTAACAAATTGGATAAAAACAGTATGAAGAGCATAAATCTGCAGAAGGGAGGGAGCTCTGCGACAAGTCTTTGCTTCTCTACTTTTATGGGTTTTCTTTCTTGCTATACGACGTGCAGAGAGGGAGATGGAGGGTGCATCAGAGACAAACAGGGATCGTGTCAGGCTGGTTCTGGCTCTGCTCGGCTGCAACATTTGCTCTTTGTTTAGTTGGAAGGAGTTGAGCTGGAGTCACAAACAACCCTCGCCTTCTTTTCTTTTCTTGCTCACCAGCAGAAATGTTCTCAAATACATGCACACGTCGAATTTAGTCTTTTTTATTATCCCCTCTCAAACTCTTTTATTTCCAGCCTCTGTGGATTCACGCAGGAAACAGAAGCTTTTTGCTTTTTCTTCAGACTCGTTTAATCTCAACTTTCCTAATTGTTTGTTTTCCTGCTAAACATTTCTTTGTTCGACCCCTTCTATAAATCCTACAAGTCACTGTCCCCACGTGATTAACGTTGAATATTGTCCTGACCCTCACTGCCCGTATTTTTAGCTGTGATTATAAATATATTCAGAGTTTTTAGCTGTTTGACAAAAACTGGAGGGCAATAAGTTCACACCACCTCTGGGTACTGAACAGAATTGAGCTACAAACTTTAAAATGTAAAATATTATGTTGTACGCTTTTTAGTTATATTAGATTTTATATGTCAGGCCTTGGGCAGCACGGTGGCGCAACTGGTAGAGCTGCTGCCTCTCAGCGAGCAGGTCCTTGGTTCAAACCCCGGTCCAGAGGCCTTTCTGGGTGGAGTTTGCATGTTCTCTCCGTGCATGCGTGGGTTTTCTCCGGGTACTACGGTTTCCTCCCACAGACCAAAAACATGCATGTTAGGCTGATTGGTAACTCTAAATTGTCCCTAGGTGTGAGTGAGAGAGTGAATGGTTGTTTGTCTCGTTTGTCTCTATGTGGCCCTGTGATGGACTTGCGACCCGTCCAGGGTGTACCCCGCCCTTCGCACAGTGATTGCTGGACATGGGCACCAGCGACCCCCGTGACCCAAAATGGAATAAACGGGTAAAGATAATGGATGGATGGATGGATGTCAGGCCTTATTAGAGTAGGTTTAAACATTGTAATGTAAAATATTAACTTGTGACTTTTAATTCTTACCTATTGGACATCGATGGATCCATAGGCCTTTAAACTATACAGTTTGGAAAAATACTAAAAACAAACCCCCAAATAAAATCAGTTCAAAGTGGCTATTAATCACAATTTAATTAGATGGTCATAAATGAAGGAAAAAGTTCTGTATTGCAGTTTGTGCGGCTGTCAAGTTTGACAGATTTTGCTTGTGCTTTATGAAAGTGAGTGGAGGCAGCCGATGAGTCAGTATTGCGACAGAACGCCTTAAGCTACATAATAATTATAGGAGCTCATAGGAACGTTATAAAAACAGCAAACATATAGGCTAAATTTTAGAGAAACTAATTGGATCAGCAGAGAGAGAACAAGTGATATTTTCAAAATCATAAAAATTTGCCAGAAGCTGAATGTAGGTGAGTCGAGGGAAAACTTAATTTCAACTACAGAAATTGCATTTCCTGCGAAAATGCAGTGTGAATGCTTGTTGCAGAAGAACTTGCTGAAAAACAGCTGAAATTAGCAACAAAAAAACATGTTGAAATGTAGCTGGAAATGTAGAACAAGCATAAATCTGCAGGAGAAAGCAGAAAGAACACAAAAGTTGAAATGAGTGAAAAAATATGGAATTTGATTTAAAAAAAAGCTAATATTAGCACAAAACAGCTACATAGTAGCTGAAATGTCTGAAGCTAGCAGAAATAAGCTGAAAGGAGCATAACAAGTTGAAATTAGTAAAGATAATCTAAATAGGCTGAAAGTAGAATAAATTACCACAAAAAAAAACTTGAATTAATCTGAAAACAGCTTAAATTAGCTAAAATATGCTAAAAAAAAAAAAAAAAAGCTAGATGAAAAGGTAGGACGAGCTTAAATGAGCATAAGAACGCAGAAATAACACATTTTTGTCCAAGGCTGAAAGAAGCAGAAATGAGCATAAAAAGAGGAAATTGCCAGAAAAAATATTAAATTAGCATAAACACAGCTGAAAAGTAGCTAAAAATTGTAGAAGGAAGCTTAAGTTACCATAAGGAAGTGGCGAGCACATTTTTGCTGAATTAGGCTGAAAAAAATTTAAATGAGTGCAACAAAAGGGGAATTAGCTGAAAAAGCTAAAATTAGCTGCTAAATAGTGGCTGAAATAGCAGAAAAAGCTTACACTTGCAGAAATAAGCTGAAATTAGCAGAAACAAGTTAGAAGAAGCACAAAAATGTTGCCGTTAGCAGAAAGAATATGAAAGGAGCACAAAATAGCTGATAAAACAGCTGAAAGTAGCTGAAAGTAGCTGAAGAAAAGTTTACATTTGCACAAGGAAGCTGAAAGAAGCTGAACTGGAACAAAATGTGAATGAAGCAGTAAACGGTTGTAAACAGAGCTAAAGATCTGACGGATGGAAAATGAGCTCATATGAGAAAAAAGTGGCAGAAAAGGCTAAATATTTCAAAAAGCTAAAGTTGTACCTATACCAAAAGTCATTACCTTCTCCAGAACGAGCTGAATGTTTTGATATATGATTTGTTGCAATAGCAAAAAAATTGTGGAACGAGAAAGATGCCAAAAACGGTACGGAAGAAAAATGGATCATAATAGTGTGAATGATTCATAAATATTCACACTGTTATAATTTCACTCTGAATTTAGTTTCTATCTTATAATCAAAAGTAAATATTATTTTAAAGTAATAGTTTGGTATTTTTAAGGATATCTAACATTGAACAATGTTTCATTTTACTGGTGTAACAGCTTGCAAAATAGATTTTCTTTACGTCTCTAATACCTGCACACCACATGAAGACCAAATCAAACATGGCTACAGTTGCACTCTCCACTCATCATCATCATCTCATTAATTAAAAATAAAATATTTTAAGTTGGGGATTGCTATAAAATGAAACATTTTAGTCTAACTGACTTCCTCTCTGTCTTCTTTTCTTACAGCATCACTTCCTTTTTTTGCATGTGAGCTGAACGCGTTGAGTCCTTACAGAAGAGGCTTCATATGTGGGGACCCCAGCATCACCTACCCTTATCTCCACAGTGAAGCCATACCGAACAAATTACTCATCTCGGGAGGAATTGTGATCACAGGCCTCACAGTAAGAGCCTTCATCGCTCCCATTACAGCGGCTGTTTTGTTATTTACTCTGCAGTAATAGGATGTGTCTATTCCAATGACATTTTGGATTACTTCTTTATTTGTAGATTGCCCTCGGGGAGTGTTTCCGGGTGCGTATCCGAAGCGTCACCTCCAAAGCCTTTGTCAGAAACCTGTATGTGTCCAGCCTGTACAAGGAGCTGGGCTGCCTTCTGTTTGGCTGTTTCATTGGCCAATCGGTGACCAATGTGGCCAAGCTTAGCGTGGGACGACTGCGACCTCACTTCCTGTCTGCGTGCGGCGTCACCTACGCGTCACTTAACTGCACACCTGGAACCTACGTTGCAACCGTGACCTGCCACAAGTCTGTCTCCCATTTAGAGGAAGAGGCCAGGTGTGTGTGTTTGTATGTTTGCACAGAGTAAATTTGTTGGTATCAAAAATGGGAAAAATGGAAAAATGGGCATTTTGGCAAGTTCCCATCTGTCTTTTTTTTCTGTCAATAGTGGAGCCATCATGGGTCTTCTTCTATGAAGCCCATTATGATTTAAAATGTGACCAATGTGACCATTAGAAACATACTTTGACCTTCAAGTCCAGCTTGGATGATTCTGGATGGGGGCACCACGGTGGCACATTTGGTAGATGTGTTGCTTTTTAGCAAGAAGGTGGCCAAACTGAATTCCAGCTTGGGACCTTTCTGGGCGGAGTTTGCACGCTCTCTTCGTGGCTAGGCTAATTGGCAACTCTAAATTGTTCTTAGGTTTGAGTGTGAGTGGTTGTCTCATTTGACTCTGTGTGGCTCTGTGATGGACGGCTTTGCAACCTGCCCAGGCTGTCAAGGGACAAAGTGGGTAACGATAATCAAAGGATGGTTTCCTTGATTCTTTTTCTACTATTCACTCTATCCATCTGATAAACCTGGGGTTGCATTTCCGCTTGCGTCCGCATCCTGGGAGGTTGGATACAGTCCAGTGAACATTATACATTTTAATAGCATTGGCAGCTGTGTTCAGATGAATATGAAGCTGCCTGGAGAAGGTCTTGAAGTAACCTGGACACCTATAATCTTCTTTCTTACAGTTTTTATCTTTAATTTCTCTGCTCTTTGTTCAGTGTGGTGCACATGATACCAAACTACCCAGTGGATGTTTGGTTCCCTTAAATAGTCTGGATAGTTGATGAAAAGCAGCTGTAGTACTAATTAAGGTCAAACACTTACTGAAACATGGCGATAATGCAAACATTAATATTCTCTTGAAGGGTCCAACTAAAGGGACCAAATAAACTACAGATCTATTCTTTTCACTGTTTTTTGTTTACTTGTTTTGGACTAAAGACATTCTCATATACGTATTTGCTTTTAACTGAATCACTTTTTAAGAGAAAAATAAAATAGTTTCATTGAATTTATTTATGTCTCGTATGTATATTCACAAATATGGATTTGTGTTTTGAAATATGCTTTTGCTATGAGTTAACCTAAATATTTTTTTACTTTTTATAGGAAGTCCTTCTTCTCTGGCCATGCCTCTTTTGCGATGTACACAATGCTCTATTTAGCGGTGAGTACTTCTGTTTCAAGGTTCTTTATTGTTGTTCGCATCACATGTGGTACATGAGGTGGAACAAAATTGTTTACAGAGTTACCTCCAACAATAGTAAAAATATAAAGTGTATAAAGAAACAGTAAATATGATATAACTAAGAAATACGCTAAACAAATGCTAAACGGTATTCTTAAAGATCTAAGACATATGCTAATCACAATACGCCGAACAACAGCAGCACGAACATGAGTCTTTGTGGGTAGATGAGTATGAATGAACGAATACAGCACCGTGGAATAATCAGCAGCATGAGATCAGCAGCACGGATAATCAGCAGCACATATCACCAATGCAAGTTGCATTATAGTGATGTTTTTTTTGTACTCATTCATGGTAACACTCACATTGACGTGCAAATGTTGCTTTTCTAACTTCCAATTATAATCCAGTCTGAGATTCTAGATTAAATCGCACATCATTGGCCCAGTTAGCAGCAGAAAGTGAAAGATTGAAAGACGAGAAGAGACTGATGGAAGATAAGAGACAAAACAGAGACTGCTTTGTTTTGTTGTGGGAGGAGTGTGACCTCGCCTCACCGTCTCACAGCTCGGCTCCATTGTGTGAAAATATGTGTGTGCGTGTTGACATGTGTAAGCTCTGGAACAGGGTATTTGTACATGCAACTTCTAAATGTATAAATCGTGCTCAAAGGTTTAAACACACATTTTGAATAGGGAACTGATTTCCAAACGGTGGAAATTTGAAGGTGGAAGACAAAATACGAGATGTTTTGCTTTGCTAGTTTAAAGGGAAGAGTAAAAAGCACCGTTACGCAACAGCTCTCAAAAACGTGTGAGATCAGATTTAAATGAAATGGACGAAGCCAAGAATTGTTTACATTTTCATTTCAGGAAGAGCGGATCAAGCAGAGCAAATTTCAAAGCCTTAAATAACTCCAACTTTTCAAACTTTGCTATAAAAATCCACATATTTTAAAAGATACAGATTGTTCTTTTGATAGAGTAAAATATACTTCCTTTGAACAGTGAAAGATAATCAACACCATCACTGTGTCAGGTCCCCAAGCGACCATCTTGACATTGTCCATTTTGTCTTATACGTCACTAAAACCTTTTTTTTTCTTTGTCGTTTAGTTTTACTTGCAGGCTCGGTTTACGTGGCAGGGGGCTCGATTACTAAGACCGATGCTGCAGTTTTTTCTGGTCCTGCTGGCAGTCTACACAGGTCTGACCCGCATCTCAGATTACAGGCACCACCCATCGGACGTGCTAACAGGCTACCTGCAGGGAGCTCTCACCGCTTACTGGGTGGTCAGTACACCTGATCTGTTTGTTTTCGGGCCACCTGAGCGTGTCCACATGCTAAAGCCTCAACTGTTGTTTTTGCAGGCCTTCTACATCTCTCCCATGTTTAAAAGCTCCAGCTCGGACCTGTCTCCTACTGAGACGCTGGACAGCCCCATGTCACCTCACCATACCGTCTGCTGAGCTTCCCCACCACCATCCAGCTGCTGCCTGGTTTCTGGTCTGTACAGACTGGAGATTTAAAGAATGTGAGACGATTTCCTCAGAAATCCAACAACATACCTCAGTATTTTGACAGCAATTTCGTCTTTGAGAGATCTGCAGCTCAAAAGAGAACAAAACAAAAACTGACTTGAGAGAAAGAAAGACTGAAACCCTGCTCTTATCATTTGTTTTATGTAAACAGCCTGAACACTTTTATTCTTGTGACTGATTAAAGCTTCACACGCCACTTTTACCTGTGAGGTCAGACTGAACACATAGCAACCACTAAGGTTCCCAACTATAATCCTTGAGGAACACCATCCTGCACGTTTTAGTTGTTTCCCTGCTTTGACACATATGATTTGAATGAATGGGTGATTTCCAGGCTTCTGCAGAACTTGAGGAAGTCATTAAATCACTGAATCAGAAGTGGCAGAGTGGGGAAACGGGTTGTGTTCCTGGAGGACCAGGGTTGGGAACCACTGCACCTCACATGTAAATATTTCCTTTTTTTTAATAACTTTATTCGTATTTGTAAAGCACTTCTGCATTTTCATATTCATATTTATAGTTATCCCTCAGAGCTGAATAGATAATATATATTTATATAAATATGGATTTTATTGTTTAGACATTTTTTTTTTTTTTTTACAAATGTTGAATGTTGATGAATGAAAGAAAAAAGAAAAGAATAACACTAACATTTCTAACTTACTATGTCAGCAGATGTATTTTATTATGTGTACTTATGTATGATACAATATAAAATGAAACGTTACTATTTACTTTGGTGCCCCTTTGGGTACATTTGCTCGTTAAGCAATTGGTAGTTAAAAGAATGACTAAAAGCCACGTAAAAATGTATAAGGAAAAGAAAATATTGATGCATCTTCTCTGTTTTATATGTATACATATAATGTGGATATATATATATATATATATATATATATATATATATGTATGTGTATGTATATATATATATATGTATGTATATGTATATGTCAGTGTCAAATTGTTTTCATTTCTGTGACTTACTGGTTTGCTTATAATCTGTTGTTTCATTTTGTGGGTCCTGCCTCAAGTTAAAAGTAAAAATATACAATTGAACTGTAAGATCTTTTTTTTTTTTGCACAGTATCAAGAATAAATGACAATGCAAATGTTTAGTACAAACAGATTTTTTGACTGAGGTGTTCTGATAGTTGCATGACATTTTACAAGTACTGTTAAAACAGGCAACATATACCATTAATAAGCAACAACAAAAAAGATATTTATTTAATATAAATAGGTCGTACATTCTTTATTTCTGGGTCATTTCAATCACAAATTTTAGGTTTTAAGATTTTTTTTCTCTCTCCAAGTATGTCTATAACCACTTCTTTCTGTTACTCACAGATTTTTTACATTTTTTATCTCAGTTGTCTGAATTCAATTTCTTCATCTTTATTACTTGAGGGTGAAACACATATCTGTTTTTTTATTTATTTAACTTTTACTGTAAAACAAGCTGAATTTGATGTCACAGAAGTATGGCTGCACAGTCCTAATCTATGACTGCCTGTGACTACAATTACACTTTCCACTTTGAAACAATTTCAGTAACAGATATTTCTATTTATAAAATCTTAGGAGTTCTATAGATTTTAAAAGTTGCTAAAAAAAAAACGTCATGGTTGTATGAGGACAGTACTTAAAATAATTTTCCCAAAAGTACAAAATCTTTGTTTGTGAATTATACATAACTATTGACAATAATAATTTTCCAACCAGGTTGATTGAATTCATTACTCTTATGTTTGAATATCCGAAAGAAATTAAAGAAATATGATAAATGATAGTTTGGCAAAAACCTATATGGGTCAAAGAATCCTTATGTTAATGTGCCAACAAAACTCAAAGTAGACATTATAATTCTAGTTTTACTGTTTTTGTCAATGAAAAAAATAATACACATCAGTGATCGTGTTGATTATTTAGTTATTATTTTAAGTCAGTTGTCAACTACAATATTCAAGAGTCATTGGAGCATAGCTACGTGGTCACAAAAGGTATTTTTTAACTATATTGGCCATATATATGGTGGTGGCCATCTTGAATTCTTACCTGGCAACCCAATTTTCGAAAGAAAACTTTCTTACGTCTAGATGCAGCCACACACCAAAATAGAAGTTGATGTCATCCTTATTTTTCAGGTTATTATGCTCACAACATTTAAGGATGGACAGAGAGTATTTCCATTTTCCCCTGTTTGCTCTGTGACAAAAAGCAATTAAAATTAAAGCTGCAAGCAGCGTTGAAGGCCCTCGCAGCGAAGCGCCGCTGCAGCCTTACCGTGACCGCGGGAACTCCAGCGACTCTTCCCGGTCGCCATCGAGAACGCTCACGCTACCGTCACGCGCCCGTTCTCCGGAATGTGCATTCGCCGAACCTTTGACATCAGCTGCGACCGCGGATATAACTATTTTAATATTATAGGGGGCGCTCTAGAGTCAAAAGTTAAAAAACATTACTAATGTGTCCATAACTGCTTACTAATGATGCACCCAAAATCTGGTGCAGATCGTATGGTATATCATTGAGATACAAGTGTTAGAATATTATAGGGGGCGCTCTAGAGTCAAAAGTTAAAAAACATTACTAATGTGTCCATCAGGACTACATAATAATACACCAAAAATCTGGTGCAGATCAGATGATATATCATTGAGATATAACAGTTTAAAAAATCTAGGGGGCGTACTTGAGTCAAATATTAAACAACAACACAACTGTGTCCATAAGTCCTCACTAGTCCAGCACCAAAAATCTGGTGCAGATCAGACGATATATCACTGAGATATAACAGTTTGAATTATGTAGGGGGCGCACTTGAGTCAAAAGTAAAACAACAATACCATTGCGTGTTTAAGTGCTCACTTATCACACACCAAAAATCTGGTCTACATCGGATGACATATCACTGAGATATAACAGTTTGAATAATCTAGGGGGCGCACTTGAGTCAAATATTAAACAACAATAACAATGTGTGTAGACATGGTCACACATTATGCCACAAAAATCTGGTGCAGATCGGATGATTTATCATTGAGATATAACTGTTGCTATATTGTAGGGGGCGCTGTAGAGTCAAAATTTAAAAAACATTACTACTGTGTCCACCAGGGCTAAATAATAACACACCATAAATTTGGTGCAGATCGGCTGATATATCACTGAGACAAAACAGTTTGAATAATGTAGGGGGCGCACTTGAGTCAAATATTAAACAACACAACTAAAATGTCCATCAGTTCTCAGTAATGACGCACCAAAAATCTGGTTCAGATTGGATGTTGTATCACTGAGATATAACTGTAAGAAGAATGTAGGTGGCGCTGTTGAGGCTCTTGGCCACTTATCATGGAACCCTGTTCAAAGGTGGATAATGATCAATCATAGTGATTTTGGTTCATCTGGGCTCAAATCTGTGCAATTTAGAGCCAAACGTATTGCAACGGCGTCTCTTTTTAATTCGCCATGGCGCCACGCCCACATCCTCCAGCTATAACTGTTTGTAGTTTAAATCAAGTCAGACCATCTTGTTATCTGTCTTCCAACACAGGATCATCCTGATTAGATTAAGGGTGTCAAAGAAGGAGCATTCCAATTAAACAAAGTCACTTCCTGTTCTGAGGGGGCGGGGCTTTGATGACGTCACAATATGACCTCAGGGTATCGTCGGGCATGGGACAGGGATGACTCGTGCCAAATTTGGTGCAAATCTGTTTTTCAAGTTGAAAGTTATAACGTTTGGAAATTTATGGCGTGAAGCTCAACTTTGAGGCCTGGCCACGCCCCTTTAACAAAACGAAACCGAAAGCTTTTGATAACTTTTACTCTCCAATGTCTTAAAGGCCTAATAACCAAGTTTTAAGGCAATCCTTCAAAATCCCTAGGAGGAGTTCGTTAAAATTCGCCATTAAAAACGCCCAAAAATTAACCTTTGACCCAAAATGGCCGACTTCCTGTTGGTTTTGGACCTGAGCTCCAAGAGACTTTTTCATAGGTCCTGAGAAGATACACATGTTCAACGAGTTTCAGAATTATCGGTCGAAAAATGTCTTGGGGCCGAGGTTTTAAAATACTCTAGGGGGCGCTATAGAGGCTATTGCGCAATTATCATGGCTTCCTGTTCAAGGGGCGGGCAATGATCGATCATAGTGATGTTGATGAACCTCGGATCAAATCTGTGGAATTTAGAGCCAAACGTATTGTCACGGCGTCACTTCTGACTTCGCCACGCCGCCACGCCCACATCCTCCAGCGGAAACGCTTTGCGCTTCAAAGCAAGTCAGACCAACTTGTTGTCTGCCTTCTAACACAGGATCATCGTGATTGGGTCCAGAGTGTCAGGGAAGGAGCATTCCAAGCAAAAAAAGTCACTTCCTGTTCTGAGGGGGCGGGGCTTTGATGACGTCAAAATTTGACCTCAGGGTATCGTCGGGCATGGGACAGGGATGACTCGTGCCAAATTTGGTGCAATTCTGTTTTTCAACGTGAAAGTTGTAGCGTTTGGAAATTTTTGGCGTGAAGCATAATTTTGAGGTCCGGCCCCGCCCCCTCAACATACGTCGGTTTGCACCGTTTTGATAACTTTTGGTCCCCCATGCCTACTGAGCAAAATGGCGCAAGTTTGAAACCGATTGAGCGAAATCCCTAGGAGGAGTTCGTTCAAATTCGCCGTGTACGAAAAGCGAAAAACGGCCAAAATTGACCCTTTGACCCAAAATGGCCGACTTCCTGTTGGGTTTAAGGCATACCTCCAAGAGACTTTTTTTCATGATTCAGTGGGTTGTACATGTGTACCAAATTTCAGCTCTCTAGGTCTTACCAGTTGTCATATCTCACGTTAGGGGGCGCTGTGGAGCAGTTTGGCCACGCCCACTTTTGGTTCCATTAAATACCTCAAATTTCTCGCGGGGGACAATTTTGGGTCAAATATGGTGAGTTTTCGAATATGTTAAGGCCTCCAAATTAGCGCTCTTTGACGGAAAAAAATTTGAAACGACACAATAACAATAGGCCTTCGCAGCGCTTAGCTGCTCGGGCCTAAAAATAATTTATATATATTTTATGGGTCCCATTCCTGTGTAGGTGGTTTATATTATCTTCTACGACACAAACATACACAGATGTGAGCTGGTACAGACCATTCATGTATATCAACAAACATGGAAGCATATTGTTATTAAATGACAAATTGCTTTTTGTAAAATTTTAATAAACCTTCTAAAAATGCAATGTTTTGCAGAAAACCTCCTAACTTAACAAATAAAAGCCCCTTTTGAACAACAGCTCAGCTAACCCTATAATGTCCCTGCAGCCTTGAGGGAAAAAAGCTTTAAGGGAGCACTGGAACACAGTGTACAGTATTTTAAAAATGGCAGTCACCATCATGTGCCAAAAATAGGGCATTGAAGGAAGATCTACCATAAAAAAATACCGCAACATCAATAATGGCATATGGCATATGGGTCAAGGAGGCATCGCACAATCCTAATGCTCTATGGCTACAAGATCTAAGATCTGATCACAACAAACTTCTAGAACAAGAACGAGTAACCACCACAGGGGCAGACATCCAAGACAGAGTTTCAGGTATGAAGAGTTGGACTGTACTCCTAACTACCACATTGCAGATTTTTTCAGTATGACATTATCCTGTTAAATCTTCTCAAAGTCTTGGCTGTTTTATGCGACGAATAGTTTCACGGTCAGTAGTGGTCAAAGATGGATGAGAAATAGAAACTAAGAAATAAACAACAGCACTAACATCCATTGCTTTTCTCATTGACAAAGACAGCAGAACTGAAAGTATTTTCCAAATGTCTAGATTGGGTCTTGTTGGTGCAATTCATGTATTATGCTAACAATAACCAATTTCTTGGGTCGTGCTGGATTAATTTTGATAACTGTTGGTGTTCTTGTTGGATGGCAATAATTTCAAAAAATCGTTCAATACAAAAAAAAGTCTTTGTGCAACAATTAATAGCAATAATTTTATAATAAATAATAATAAATAAATACATAATAGCAATCATTTTATTTTTGTAATTGATGCATGTTGGCAGATCTGCTGTTAACAATTGTTTATACAGTTCACCAAGTATACCTGTACCTCATTTTCAGCCATTGTATTGTATAAAAAAAAATTATTCTGAATTCCTTTGTCTCTCTCTGTAAACAAACGAACAAAAGTAGAAAAACAGAAACATTTATTTCACATGTTTACTTGAACTTCAATAGCAATACAAGACAATCAGAACACTTGAGGTGGATATGTACAAGGATCTGAAGGGGTTGCAGAAAAGTTCTGAGGTTTTACATGATCTCTGGCTCTGCAGTCAAGTGTTTCGTTGCTATGACAAACTCCATGGCAACAAGTTCCAACAGTTAGTGGTGGACTGAAGGGACAGAAGTTTTGGTCTTGATGTGAAATAGGACAGGTCCAGAGTTAAAATCAGAAGCAGGAAAGCGCTCCTCCATGTCCATATTGATAAAATGCTTCAGTGTGATACATTAATTATACAATAATGTTTTATATACATATACTTTCTCTCTCATACACACATATACACACCCTTACACACACCCACATGCTCATCAAGCAATGACACACGCATATATTCGCTTGTACGCATCAGCCATTCCTCCTACAGTATGTAGCCTTGCAAAGCCACGATAAAGTCATGCACATGTTCTTTGAGAGGGTTTTTTGGCAAGACACAAGTGCTTCTTTGACACTGTTTGCTACAGAGAGGGGCAATGCCCAGCCAATGAAGCAACAGAAACTTAGATGATGGACCAGTAATTAAAAGCACCAATGAGATGGGAAGACACAATAGGGTTTCAGGAAAGACAGAAGAGTAGTGGGAGCAAAAAAATGGATTACAGTCATACAAAAGTAAAGAAACATGGAAAAGGGAAAAGTCTCGTGGTGATCAGGAAATAGAAGCAAGGAGGAGTAGAAGAATTCCAACATTATTAGCATTTTTTTAAGCTTAATCTTAGTTTCCATCATTTATGATTTCAAAATTTTGTTGAAAATATCACCATCCTTCTCTTCCTCCCTGGTGTCTATGCCCCAATCACCACCGCCCTAGTCACAGGCTCGTCACCCGTTGCATCTGTTCATCGTCTCCATCAGAAGTGGGCTCTGCAGAGTACCCTGTCTCTCCATTGGTAGCCAGTGGTGGTGGCTGATAGAAGGTCTGCAAGTGATTGGGCCGCGGGCCAAGCGGGGGTCGCCCCAGGCTGTAGGGCAGTTCCAGACCAGACCTCTGTGACTGACCATCAGTGGGACTAATTTCATCTGGGCCTTCAGGGCTGCTGTCTGGGTATAAGTGAGTTGGGGGTGAGGTACGGGTGTAGAAACGAGGAGGAGAGCTGCTGCGGCTGTACACCTGTGGGGAGTGGCGGGAAAAGAGGTTGCTGGGAGGTGAGTTATTCTCTCGTGGGGCAAAGATATTTGTCGGGGGTGAGTTTCGAGGGAAAATGTTAAGTGGCGGCGAGTGTCGGTCTCCAGGATAAAGTGGGGAGGGGTTGGAATCTCGGGCATAGATGGGTGAGGAGTCAGGGTCCAGGTCAAGATCAGGTGTCAAAGGCAGAGTGAAGCCATCAGAATCTTGTCGTTCACCATGATACCGAAGAGACCCTCGATCTATCCCTCTTTTCCTCCCATCTAGACCATTATCTTTGTTCTCAAACGAGAAACACTCCTCCCGGTCCAAATCTATTCCTCCTCTCCACACGTCCAGTGCTCTGTCCTTCTGTTTCTCAGTCTCTCGCTCAATCCCTGCTCTCCAACCATCTCTGTCCTTCAAGAACAAGGCTTCCTCTTTCTGCCTCTCAAAGTCACCTCTCCAACCATCCATACCAAAGTCTTTCTTCTGAGTTATGAATGTTTCATCCTGCTCTGTTTCCGCTCCTCGCCACACCTCCATTCGTCCATCTCTCTTTTCCTCTCTCCCCCTCTCAATGCCGACTCTCCATTCATCCAAAGTGCCATCTCTCTTCTGAGAGGTAAAAGATTCATCTCTTCCTCTTTCGGTCCCTCCTCTCCATACATCATACGTTCCTTCTCTTTTCAGCAGAAATGTCTCATCCTTTTCTCGGTCCTGGCCACTTCTCCATGCCTCTACAACAGCTTCTCTCTGTTTCAAGAGCAGCGGCTCTTCCAAAGCTTTGTACAGGGGCTCTGATTCCTGTGGGGGAGGAGGAGGAGGTGGTGGAAGGGGCCTGTCCCGATAACGATCTCTGTCTCGTTCCCGGTCTCGTTCTCTTTCTGTCCCTCCACTGGACTCTGTTGTGCTGCGGTGGCGAGACAGAGTACCAGGGGTGCGGCTGAGGGTGGAGTATGGCCGAGCCTGGACATCGGGAGGACGTGGTTGCTGCCTGTCCTGATGCCCCCGGCGACCCAGAGTGCCTTGCAGCTGTGACCGGTCTCCATCTTTTAGCAGCTCTCGACTGTCACAATCTCCAGAAACACGCGTGTGTGACCAGCCATCCTGTAAGCGTTCCTCACCACATGTTGTGGAGTTTGTCTCAACGTCTTGAGTGGGCTGCCGTGTGTGCACCCAGCCCTCCTGTGCATTGTGCCGTGTGTTTGGCTGCACGGTGGCAGCCCAGCCCTCTTGCGGTGGCTGAGCATGTCGAGTTAAGGTGGCAGTGTGAGCAAGAGCCGGCCTCTCGTGAAGGTGTGGCCTCGCCAAGCTCCCGTATCGCTCAGGAGGAACAGGCATGGCAACCGAGGGCCTCAGGTTGCTCTGCACCAGCTCTGAAATGATCATCTTCTCCAGCGCTGCTGCATCAGACAAATTGCGACGCATTCCGGTTCCGCCGCTCATATCCGTTGACCCATGTGGTGTGAGGAGGCTAGGGGAGATGTCATCCCCTCCCATCCCAACTCCGCCGTCCCTCAGAAGGTCGGTGCTGCCCACCACTCCAGCTCGGGATCCTGGTGTTGTTCCTAAGCCATGCAGGGTGAAGGTGTTGGGTGTGTAGCCTCCATTCAGACATACACTGTCCAACCCACATGACTCCTGACTCTGAGATACACCACCCTCTGTCGAGAGAAACAAGATGTTAATTACAAATGACAGAGAGCACCAAAGTACTTATAAAGACATAGCAGCTCATGCTATGAGTACATGAATGAACAAATGAATGAATGAGCAGACTGGTGTTCATACGCCTGCTGAAGGTGGGGCTTTTCCTGAATATATAAAGATAACTGCAGATGAAATGTTTGGTTGTGTTGCCAGATGGAGAGATGCCTTTATGGTTTCTGTATACAGGTAGTTTCTGTGTGCAAATTTCACACAGTTTATGAATCTAATCACAGAACAAGAGAAAGTGGTGCTCAATGGTTCAAAGGAGCACAAGAGTGAAGAGTTCATACTCTGTTTGTTTCTGAAGGTTCCTACTGGTCATCGATAAGACAGAGAGACAGAGACAGAAAGAAAGGGTCAAGATAACATTTACATACAATGTAAATAAAAACATAACAAAACATATTCACAGCTTTCACTCTCATACTACACATTTAGCTTAAACTGTTCAGAAACAGAAAAAACAAATACGTCATGCAACAAAATGCTGAGTTCCAAAAAAATAGTTTGTAGATTTAATACTTTTAAAGTTGATGTGAGTTTCTGTTTTTGGAAGCAGGTGACATATAAATGTGACGATCAAAAGATTTAAATGAAAGATCAGGAAATTAACGATTTGTTTATTTATTTGTACTTCACTGTGGGGAAAAATAATAATTGTGTTTTTAATTAGAGACTGTATTTATCTTTGAAAGGTTCAAGGCCGAGCAAATGTTATTTTTGGAAAAGTTTTGCCTAATTATCAAACTTATCTATTGTTGTTCTTGTGTTAACTGCACAAACATTTTCAGTTTTTTTATAAATAGCTTTTATAGTGTATATCTGTAATTTACTAACAATTTAGATTATGTTAGGTTTGCCTTTGACTGTATTATGTTAGAATGCGCTGAACTGAGCTCAATGTAACTTGATTAGAATTTGATATATTTATTTTATTCTGTATAAATATATTAGATTACTTTTCATTGTCACTATGTGCAGGGTGTTTTTGTCAATCTCAAGCTATCTCTCCTCGGCCAAGGATTGAGTTTGATAGGATTTTTATTTTTGCTCCAAATCCTATGCATATGTCACTTTCATTACTTTATGTCTGTCTAAACAGGTTTCACTTGTAAAAGAGTCTTCGAGGCCCAATGTGATGTATCTGTGTAAATAAAGGTTGAATGAATTGTGAAATAACACCAAGCAACAGAAATGAACTGTAAATGTGCCACGAAAATAAAAAAGCCTGGCTGTGTTAGCATTGTGGGACAGGTTGTTAAGGTATCACTATAAACACAACAATCTTTTTTAAACTTATTTATACACTTATTTAGAGATAGATCAAAAATCGTAGGAAATTTTAACATTTCATATATTGGCCACTTTAAAAACAACAGCAATCTGCCATTTTCTTTACATACTTAATCAAATGGCAACTAGTAAAATGAAAAGTGAGCCGCTACAATTAGCTTATTGTATCTCCCAAATAAGTTTTTCAAGCTACAATGTTCACCTATACATTTTTTTGGTGTGTACAGGTTATTTAGCGAAAGTCCATTTATTTATGCAGTTTAAGCAGTTATTGCTAAATTTCCTTAAATGGCAATCTATATTGACTGAAAAAAAAATATGTATTTCAGTAATTAGCTGCTCTGATTTCTAAAGATCGTCATACACCAAATTAAATTCACATCAGATGGACTCAATTACTTATTAAATCAAAACGCATCGTTATCAGCATGGGGTTTATATTAGTATTGGTGCAACTTCTTACATCTTTGGGTTATTTATTTGTTTTAGATGCCTAAAAATAACCATATGTACAACCCCCAAGAAAGACAAATCTCCTCTTTTATTTATGACCCAATCAAAAGTTAAACCTTTAAAATATAACTATTTGAACTGATCTGCATATGTTTGCTCAAATATAAACGAATCTCGAGGAAACAGTTTGCCTAATAATTGTGTAGGCGTTTGGTAGTAAGCATAAGAGAAACATCGTAACAAGAAGCCAGGTGAAAATATTACGCAGTCAAATGTAACGGGATGTACCTGTGGACGTGAAAGGCTGATTGTATCCCTGCGCCAGGATGGTGTCATAAGGCGAAGCTCCAGTGTGAGTCTGCAACATTTGGTTTGTAAGGAAATGATTCCCCAAAGCAGCTGATGAGAGAACGATGGAGAGAATAAATATCACATTGTTTATACACAGCAGGCTGAAATGTGTGATTTAAGGGGAACAAAAAAAATCAAACTTTACCTCGGTTGAGAGTAGGAGTGTTGTTAGCGTCCGCAGCGATGAAAGAAGACTCCGTCTGTCTGCGAACGGTGTCGTTCCACATCCTTCTAATGCGACTCTGCAACAGAAGCGCTGGTGTGTTAATAGCTGCTCACACACACAGGTGACGCTTCGGAGAGGTGACGCGAGCTGCTGCACACCTGTCTGTTAGCAGTGGCTCTGCGACTTTGGCTGCTGGTGTAGCGGCTGTTGGAGCGAAGGGCGGCACCTTTCACCGAGTCTGGAGAGCTGGACGAGGATGTTGCGCAGCACTGGGAGAGACGCAGGCATCGTCCGTTATCCTTCTGACCCTACGCACAAAAACGAACCACGTAGACACGGGCTAAGAATTTAACAGGTGTGCATTTAGCGCAGAATCATATGTGAGCTCTAAAACGGACTTTTCTGGCGAGTGTGCAGTGCAGGATAGTGATGAGGAGGGCCTGGGCGGTGTTGAGGGAGGAGAAGAGGTAAGCCAGGAGGAGAGACGGGCCAGACAGGAACATCAGGCCTGAGGACCATGTGACGCTCAGCAGGAAGAGGAGAGTCAGGGAGCCCACTGTCCATGCCCTGCAGAGAAAGAAGAGGACTCAGAGTATTAGTAGTTCCTCGATACTTCACGGTTCAATTTCCGCAGACTCGTTCTTTTGCGGTTTTTCAATGAGTGTCAACTTTAATATTACTCACATGATTGGGACGGTACAGATAAAAAGTTCACCAAAAAAAAAAAAAAAAAAACTTCGGACATGTGCAGCCATTTTGTATTGTTCTTATGCTGTATCGCCAGTCCAAAAGAACTACATTACCCAGAAGCCAACAGTGCTTCCAGCCTGGAGATGTAATCGGCTCACCTCAACGTGTGCTCTGGAACCAATCGCCTCAAGAGGTGATTGGACCCCGTTGACCTCTGGAGATGCCCATGATGAGTCTACTTATAGATAAAATAGTGTTTTATCTTTTCCTCTCTTTTGTGCTTTTATTTTATGTTGCTGCAAAGCTGTGAACAAATAAAGTGCCTGAGCTTATAAGGTAAAAGTTGCATTTAAATATCAGAAAGACACTCTCTCTTTTGTCTTTTTCCTGTAAACACCAAAATATGTGATGCTTTAGTCAAGCCTTCTGATGAGTTTTTAAATAGAGTTTTAAGGTTTACAAAATGTTGCTGCTGTAAAGCTCTACATGGACTGTCTTCTTTATGTGCAACTGTATGACATCAATCCCACACAATTACTTAAAATAATCCACAACAGCACACTCTTACTGACCTCAGGTTGTCATGACGACTGGAGTCTGGCTTCAGTGCAGCGGTGCTGTGCATCTTATGTAAAGTCATCACCAAGACAACCAGATTTAGCTGAGGTCCAAACAAAAACACAGACAAGGACAAATGTTAATACATGACCAAGTTAAAGGTCTAGCAGTATGTAATCTTGAGAAGGGGCAGTTTTACGTCCGTTTTTATAAAACCTTTTAAATGTTATTGTACCCAATCTTATGTATTGTGAGATTTCATGAGATGTGTTAGCATCCAGATAAAGTCTGAGGAAGAGTTTCGGCTACTATCATACCAAAATAGCTCAATTTTGGTCAACCTGACTGAGTTATAACCATTTTTGTGTTGGTTGAGGTTGATGGGAGACTGCGACGAAATGAAACCTCAATGCAATCTGCTGGCTTTCTTACATATATAACATTACTAATAGACGTGTTATTAGTGCTGTCAATCAATTAAACATTTGATCAGAGTAATCACACTCTGGGGCTGTGATTAATCTGATTATGGTAATCACTATGCTTAACTTTGTAAGCTTGAAATGTAAATGTGCAGGTTTTCATAAAATGTTGATGAAAATGTTGTATTGTCTCAAACCAAACAGTTTCCCAGGTTTTCATACTCATTAAGGTTTACACAAGTCATTTTGTTCCAAACGTTAATTTATATATGTTAACTCAAATGTCTCACGAAGTGTCATATGTGATCAAAACGTGTGAGCCTTCATCTTCTTCTTTTGATTTTATTGACGGTTGGCAAACTTAAGTGCATTACTGCCCCCACTAGACTGGAAGGTGGCTCTGGAGAATAACCAGTTAACCCTCCACAGGATAGAGGCCTTTATAGGACAAAAGTTCTAGAATTGCGCCGCTCAAGGTGGAGCAGCTCTGTTACTTTCATTCTGAGTTATTGCTTTTGGAAACTTTAATTCCTCTTTTTCTGGATGTAAATCACTTTTTCCAGATGATTATTTCCTCTGGTATTGGATGAAGTGCAGCTGGAAGGATTTTAACTGAAACCTTTTGTACATTTGGGCATTTGGTATGATGCGTAACCATGGCAACAAGGTGTTTTTTTTTTAAACAACCAGGAGCAGCTGATTAACATCTCAAAAGCTGAAATACCTCAACTACAACATTAAATCCCAAATGAGTTGAAAAGGAGGCTCCGTGGACAAATTCCTGTCAACCTGACGGTGGTGCTGGAGTGCCTGACCGCCGAGATTCTGGAGCTGGTGGGGAAACAGCTTGTGACATCAGGAGGACCGGGATCATTCCCCAGCACCTTCAGCTCTCTGTCCGTGGTGACGAGGAGCTCAGCAGACTGCTGGGAGGAGTGTCCATCGCTCAGGGAGGAATTCTGTCCAGCATTCTGGCAGTCCTGCTGCCCAGGAGGACCGAGAGGCCCGCCGGATCTGACAGCAAGCTGGATCTGGGTGGACGTGCAGAATCTGTGCAGATTCTTCAGATTTGCTGCAGGAGATCCTTCCTTCTCACAGCTATCAGCATCTATTGCAACTCTTGAATAAAACCAGGATGATGAGCTACGACAACACTTAATTTCCCTCTGGGATTAAGAAAGTATTTTTGAATTTGAATTTGAAAATAGATAAAGCGATTAATCTGCGTTATGTAATATTAATGCGTTCAGCTTTTTTGATTAATCGCATGCGTTAATGCATTAACGTTGACAGTCCTACGTTTTATATATGTGAATGTTTCTGTTCCGTCCCCTGAGATAACTGTTGTTGTGACTTGGCGCTACAGAAATAAACTGAATTGAATTCAATTGAATTAAATGTGGCGGTAATTATAAATTAAGTTGAATCCAAATATTTGGAATATTTGACACGCAGCCAGTGATTACTGTCTTAAGAGTTGTACTCCAATCTGTCTGGTGGTTTATGAGCCGTAGAGACATGGTTAACTCCAATAGGTAAAGGCAACTTTTATTAACAGATGTTGCACGATCAGTTCGCACTCGGATAACATGTTGGGGGTGACTCTAAGCCACTACCACGCCAAACTTTAGATCAAATTTGTAAAACTTCTTGGGTTATACATATTTTTGTGGATGTTATGGTTGCTTTGCTGTGGCAGCTATCTCTAAAAGGCTTATCCCATATCCCTAAATGGTCCCTGGGTGCTTATAGCTGCCCACTGCTCCACCTGGGTGTATCTCACATGTGATGGGTTAAATCCAGAGAACTAATTTCGCCATTGTATGGGAACATACAATGATGACAACACAGCACTTAATCTTAATCTTAATGGGTTGAGTTCAAATGTTAATCAGTTGTAGATATTCATCCAATGAACACTACAGACAAACCAACATGTCCACACCGACACAAGCAAAAACATTGTCGCCCTTTCATAAAAATATACAGCAATCCTAGTATAGAGATGAAAGCCTGAACACCTACTGTAATAATAACAGCTACAGGTCCGAGAAAACTCCAGATGAAGTAATTATCTGCACGCAGCCAACACCTAAACACAGAGAAACAGACGCATGAGCACAAATCACCAGAAAACAACAAACTGTAATTTAAACTTTATACATGCGGTAGATGCCTAATTTCCAAGGTGAGCTCACACGTCTCTAAACTTACGCAGTTTTTGAGCCGTATCCTCTGAAATCAATAGCTGCCGACACAGCCACCACCAGCCCAGGAACAGAGTATCCACAGAGGTAGAAATACTTCCTCCTGGAGTTACGTCCCTCAAATACCTCCCTCTGCAGCAGGTACAGTTCAACGGCCTCCAGACACAACCAGCAAAACACCGAGAGCAATGAAAAGTGCAGCAGGCCAGCAGTGATGGAGCACACGACCTGAAAACCACACCCATCACAAACAGTGCATGCTTTTGTTTGTGTTATAATAATAAACATGCATACTTCTACTATTAAATGCACTCTAATGTATAATGTGGGACATGTACTGACGGTGTATTTGGTCTTGTTGGCACCGATGAGGAAGAGAAGTTCAGTGATGAGCAGATTGGTCCACAGGTTGGAGTGGATGGTGCTGTGATCTGAGTGCCAGGGCGCCCCCTGGCAGCAGAGGGTGATGAGGCAGGTTGCCAAACACACGAGGGCCACAGAGATACCCACCCAATAAACCACAAAGACCAGAAGCTCCTCTACACCGGCCCTGAACTGTGAGGAAAAACACACAGCGAAGGGTGTATTTTTGTTTTAATAAAGAGTAAACAAACAAGATCAGCGATAAAAAAATGCGTTGGAACAGGTTTGATCGCTGTACTGTTATTTTAATGTCAATGTCTAGTATGGATGTTTTGTGTGGCTACTGACTGTGAAACAAATTGCCCCTTGGGGATAATAAAGACTCTTGAACTTGAACTTGAAGGTCTACCTTGTAAATGAATCAAACTCTGTGATGTGTTGATATGTCGGCCACTTACCACTGGTTGCTGATATGTCATGAGGACAGCGAAGCTGGACAGGTGGTTGCAGGCGCAGGTTGTGTGTGTGTTGTTAGTGTGTAGCAGGCGGCAGCCCTGTGTGGACCACCTGCCATTGCCAGAAGCTCCCGATGAGTTCCAGAAAGAGCAATTAGGCCCAAAATGATTCTCCAGCTGTGGATATAAAAAAAAAAAAGTTATATCAAAAAGCACTTGAAACCAGATAATACACACAGAAAATATATATATAGCAGCTGAATATTAATTTAGTGATAAATGAAAAAAAACAAAAATCAGACCTGAAGGTGCCTGAGGGTGAAGATCACCGGCTCTGTCAGGTACACCCTGTTGGTTCCTTTGTGCACAGAAGCTGAGATGACGTGCGAGTTGACCACGAGGTTCCTTCGCCTGGCGTCTTGACCTTGGCCCTGGTTCTGACTCAGTCCCATTCCCAGCCGGAGCGTTGAGTTCTGCGTGGTCAGGAAGGAACCCAAGTTTTTATAGAGGGAAAGGACCAGATTCACCTGACCTAGAGAGAAAACCAAAGAATGGAGAATGACTTGACAGAAAGGAGGATTCTTTTTGTGTTTAGGCTTTTATAACATTTTGCCAATATTAAAATACAATCTTAATCAATGACAAATCAAACATTTACTGAACAAACTGGTTTTGGTGTGTCTGTGCTGCTAACCGTTGTTGCTGTACTGTTGCAGAGCCAGAGCCGATATCTGCAGGATGCTGTCGCTGTCATAGGAGTGAGGGAACGTCAAATCCTGTATAACCGCCTCTGTATTCAGTACATACACCTCCAGATCTGTCCGTTTACAGAAACAGAGACGCACAAGAGTCTGGCTGTGTTGAGCTGAAGACGATGTCAAACAAACCAGAGAAAGAGAGAGACCACGTACCAACATTTGGTGCTCGGTAACTGAAACGGCTTTCGTAGAGATTGTTAGCCAACAGAAACGCTCCTTTCTCAACTGCGTCTAAGAGCAGCGATGCAGAGCGAGACTGCTCGGTGCCGCTCAGATCGGCCCAGGCCACCAGAGCTTCAGGACCCAGCAGGTTATCAACTGTCTGCACAACCGACTGAGGACAGAAGCAAAGGCTTTTATCCATCTGTCTAGAAAACCATCCAGTAATCCATCTGTCTGTTCATACCTCTTACCTGAACAAAAAATTTACATGTGCGTTCTCTTTTCTGCAGCTGAAAGAAAACACATTTAAATTATTACAATCGTCATCCCTGACATTTCTGCTCTGATCATCAGTAAATGTCAATTATATTCCTGGACTGATAGAGGTTTACCTTGTTGTAATTGCGTGCCGCCGACTCTTTAACAGCTGGTCTTAGAACCTGGAGCTGAGAGTCCAATATATCCAGCAGCTGTTCGATTAGCCTGACGGACATGCTGACGTCACCAGCATAGATCTGTCCCCGGGTTAGATTGACGAGGTCCCCAACAATGTTGGCTGCATTCTCTCCACTCTTAATCTGGAATGACATTTAACAGAGGGCTGCATGTTGGCTGGCTTCAGGGCATTGGCACAGTGTGTATTTGTGGCTGTGAATGTGTGTGTGCTTCACTGACCCTCTGTGCAATCTGGCTGACCCAGGGAGAGGTGCAGTTGGAAAGGTCAGGCCCTCTGGAGTTCCACGCCACTGGAGATGGCATGCATTGATAGGAGGCAATACCTGCAGAAACGGAAAGGGGGAGACAGCACCAAAAAGACAAAAACCAGCAGCAGGGTTAGGTTCAAGTGAGATACATGCACATGGAAATAAAAACATGTGTACACTTATTACTGCATAAAACTGGCAATGATGAAGGAAAAAAGTATATATATAGTTATATAATAAATAATTATTAAAACCACACCTACAATATTTTTTTTAACACAAAGACAGAAGTTTAATGGAAAAGTAAGCCTTCATAAAGCTATGGATCCTAATGGTCTTCAGGGTACATGTTAATAAGTCCTTGATGAATTTAACAGGCCATTAAAGGCTTTAAAAGGTGAAAAACTTTTTTAAAACAATCTGAGTGAGTTAGCTCAGGGAGACTAGCTCATGGGGATTTTTTTTTGTTTTTTTTGTGCCTTTTATGAGGCTTGCCAGAGTGTTTTGAAGTAACCAAAGGAACTGACAACTTTGTAAAGTGCACTACAAAAATCCTAGTTAAATTTGTTGTTTTTTACTTTTTTTTTTTTTTTAAGAAACGTTCTCTCTTATTTTAGTTTTGAGCTGCAAAAAAGCAAGAAAGAAACAAATTTGAACATTAGTCATGACAATACATGGAAACTGTAGATGGTTTGCTACATTTCTAGCAAGGTGGGTAATATTTGTTAGAACTAATATGGAGGCCAAACAATGTGACCTCAGACTTATTACTGAATTTATAGATTCTGAGTCATCTAAGTTTTAATTTTTCATAGAAAAGCTTTATAATGATACAAACTGCTGTGATCTGCAAAGCTTTGAGGCATGTATAGTTGCATGTCATCTGCATAGAAAAGATAAATAGACTCAGATATATGACTCTGAAAAGGTTGGCAAGAAAAAGAATGAAATTGAAGAATTAAAGGGGGGCGAGAGTTGATCCCTGAAGGACACCGCAACATCATTGTATTCTGCACCAGATGTTAAAGAAAACAGCAGAGATAACTTGCTCAATTTCTGTTTTTGTGAGCCGGACTGGTCCACCTTCTATCTCTTGACACTAATGCACGTTTATACTGTTTCTAATCACTAATCAGTCATCATCACTAATCTATTTTATCCCCGAGGGATCTTTTTCCAAAGATGATCTTTTTTTTTCTCGTTGTTGTTCTGCACTTTTTGTTTTGTTTGTAATTACAGAACAGAGCCTGGTAAAAAAAAAGGGTTTATTTTTGTAATTCACCGATGAGTGCCTCTTTTTCATATTTGGTCTAATTATTTTTGTTTGCTGAAAATATCATAATCAGAATCATTTAGTTGGGATGCAAACTGAGTTTAGACTAGAGAGCAAAACCAAAACAACTTTTAAAAAATGTTTAAAAAAAGCATTCTACAACAGCAGTGACATGAACATTCAAAGTGAAGTGTAACATGGTGAAAGCTTTGCTCAGCAGTTACATACAGTATGTTCATTAAAATTTTACAGGAATAAATAAAACAGGTCTAGAGCGTCTGTTGCTCACACATTCTACAAATTAAATGTGATAATAGAACAAATGCACATGCTGTCACTTACAAACATGATAAAAGGTAAGAGGATTTTAGTATAATCATCAACTCTGTGCTGAAACCATGTCCAAATAATTTGACTTGATTGGCAAGAGAAAAAATGTGCTGCATGATTATTAGCATAATCTGTGAAACTGTTTTCAGAGGGAGACTGGGCTGAAGAAGACAGCTGAATAGCGAGAGGAAGAATTGCCAAACCCAGCGTTCCTGTCCACTGTGACCTCTCTTTGACTTTTCTGTTTCATCGGAGTTCAAAGAGAGGACATCGGACCACATTTCAAAGGGAAACGCGATACGCACACAGACGTGCAAACAGCACACACGCTGGCATGCTTACATATGAGCAAACATGCCACACCTACCCAGAGACCCTTTCGGGCACGGCCTCTCTACTGTCTCTCCCTTCAAGGTTGGGGGCCACTGAACACCTCGTGCCACCCGGCCCTCACATCCTCCTACTTGACCGGGCCCGCCAGGGGCCAAAGGGACTCGTAAAGGTGGGCGTGGGGTCAGAGGAATCATAGCTGTGATTGGTCGCTGGTCAAAGGGGCCCCTGTTGATGACACCAATCGGATGGGAAGCAGATGGCCGCACTGGTGTCAAAGCAACCGTGGCTGTGTAGGACCGAACGGTGGTCATCAGTGAGGAGAGGGGGCCTGTAAAGACAAAGACAAAGTCAATTTTCTGAAAACGGAATCATGTCTAGCACAACTGTTAAATGTCTGACCTTTGGTTGGTGGTGGTGGTGTAAACTGTAGAGGGTATCTCAGCATGTAGTAGTTATTCCACACATACAACTGGTTATCTCTGGGGTTGTAGTCTACAGAGGAGATGTACTGGTATGGGTTGGGGAATGGTATTTGAACAGGCAGCTCCTGGCCCCGGCTGGTGTCGTAGGCGTACACCACCATGTTGCTGCTGGCTCGGCTTTCCGCCTGACCCTCATCATCCTGGAAGACGGAACGCACGGCGTAGAGCACTCCACAGGCCATGAAAGCATTGCTTGCCCCACGTTTGTCAAAGCCAGTGGCCCACGTTCCCTCAAAACGCAGGGTGTAGGGGTTCACCTGGTCAGACACAAGTAGATGTGCATTAAAAAACCATCCTCTCTTACCTCTTTCCGATTAATACTCCAGTCATTGATCCGTTTTTGTTCCTCCTACCTGGCTGACCACAATGCGTCCATTATTGGCTTCAGTAGAGTAAATAACCCAAAGTCCGTTCTCGTCCACAGCCAGATCGATGTCTGATTTCCCTCCCCAGCGGTATGGGGAGGTGTCGTGGTAGTTAGCATTGACTACCACTGCCTCGCCGCTCTTGATGCGTGTGCGCAGGTCATACTTGACCAGGTTGCGTGTTCGCTCTTTGTTGTAAAATACAGCACCATCGTAAACGACAAACCCAGTCCCATCCACACGGCTCGGCAATCTAGGACACAGAAATTCATTGGTAGTAGCTGAAAATATTTTACAATGCATATTCTGACCATTAAGAGGTCTTCTGAGATCTAGCAAGGTATTACGATTCTACATGAGTTTGCACAAAATCTTATGCTCCAAGTTGAACCAAAATGTATACAACTCTGTCATTTTCTCAGCTTTAGATGATCTGCATCTAAAGCTGGCAGAAGAGGTGGTAGACAAGACAACATACATACTTTCAAGGAATGCTAGGGCTTTTGAATGGAATATATCAGGTTTATTTTATGTTTGCACTTTTTTATTTCAAACAGCAAGGTTTCATATTAAAGAGATAAGACCATTAGTATCTTTTTTTGTTCCATTTTTGCACACACACATACACAGAATAGGTAAAACCAGGAACTCTGAAACATTAATTTGTCATTTGAAAATTACTTACTGCTCCATTTACTTTGAAAGAGAGTTCCACGAAACATTAATTTTTCCCCACAGCTGACCTAACACAACTAATCAATACTTCATTGATTTATTTGAGAACATAATTGTTCCATTCATGTAATATTTTAAAAGTACTAGCATTTCAACTGAGAGTTCAGAAACCTCCACAAAAAAAAAAACAGATTTGCCCATGAACCACACAATCAGAAAATAAACCACTCACTTATAAGTCGTGGTGATTCTGTTTTGTCGAAGGTCATCCCACGAGGCGTACTCGTACAGGACCTCTGTTCTATACGGCGTCCACGGCATGACATAAAGCCTGTCACCGGCTTGTAAGGGGTCTTTACACCAGGCCCCCGACTGATGCTCTGCCTCCAGGGACGAGGAGGCTGGCTGGATGCTGAGCAGTGAGCCGGGACACACGAAAACTGAGAGATGGGAGTTAGGAGGGGCGCCAAAAGCAGGATGTTAGAAGGAAGAAACAGAAGAAAGAGAGGAAACGAAAAAGAAAGTGAAGTGAGAAAAGAGTGGAGGCAGGTGTGGCGGGAAAAAATGGATCAATGAGTGAAAGAAATGGGTTGAATTGGATGCGTAACGATGCAGCGAGATTAGGAAAAAAGAATGAAGAGAAAAAGAGAAAGGGGATTTAAAACACCTGTCCTGATCTCAAGAGGCGAGCGACAGAGGAGACGATAAAGTGTTGAACGTCACACACTGTTAGTGTGTGTGTGGTGATTAATACAACAGGGACACTGCAATGAAAGTTGTGTGAGTGTGTACATGTGCTTTGTTCAGTGTGAGTGAATGTGTGCATGTGTGTAGGTGTGTGTGGGCGGGTTAGTGCAAAAAGAGTGAAGAAGAGTGTGAGGTAGAGTCGGGGACGCAGAAGGCGGGGCTAAATTTTGCCTTGAAGTGAATGAGAGGGCAGGTTAGTTTACGCCAAGCACATCGATTGGTCCACCCACATATCGATAACTGTATGGACACATATGTATACTGAACAATCGCACACTGGCATGCAAATAGGCATGCACACATACACACACACTCTCTTTTTCTCACACACACACACATAAGCAGTGCTTGGTAAGCACACATCCAGACGAGTACACAATCACACACATTTCATCTTATTTTTCCTATGAAGATAAATAAGGGGCTCTTCCTATAAGGGAAGAAAAGGGAAAATAAGCATGAAGAGGATGACTGGAAAAGAAGGGAGGAAGGGAGGACGGAAAGAAGGAAGAAAGAAAGTTTGAAAGAACGAAAGAAAGAATGAAAGAAAGATCGAAAGAACAGAAGAAAGAAAGAACTAAAGAAAGAACGAAAGAAGGAATATTGGAAAGAAAGAAAGAAAGAATGAAAGAAGAACAGAAGAAAGAAAGTGTCCTAGAGGGAACTAGAGAAGAGAAAGCATCAAAAGAAAGTTGTGTTCATGTTTGGGCGACCAGTTGTGTCTACATTTGCGTGCACGAAGAGACTGAGGGAAAGAAAAGGAGCGAGAGATGAGGAGAAGAAACCGAGGAGAGGAAAGCAGAAGAAAGAGGAAGAGAAGGAAATAAAGGTGCAGAACCTGGATAAAATAGAATCGAAGGACGGCTTTGGATACAATAAGAGATGGATAAAATGTGGGGGAAATAAACAATCGTGTAAGAAATGGAAAAAACGGAAGGACGGGGGCAACATCCAGCATGATTACGAAACAACGTCCTAGTGTTGGAGGAGGAGAGAAATGGCAGGATAGAGGAAGATAAGAAGAAGAAGAATAGGGGAATTGAGGGGGTAAAGAGAGATCAAGATGCTACAATATTTTGTCTTTACCTTTTTGGTCCACTTCTACTCAAGCATAGGAAAAAAAGAGGGAGAGAAAGAAAGAAAAGTCAGAGGGTGAAAGAAGGGGAGTCAGAAAGCAAGCAAGAAAGAAAGAATGAAAGAAAGAGAAAAAACAAAAGTAAGAACAAAAGGAAAGAAAGAAAGTAAAGCAAGACATAAAACAAACTGCAAGAAGTTAGGGGGGAAAAAGCAAGAAAGAAAGAAAGACAGATGCACAGAGTTTTTGGAGCTCATTCTCACTATAAACATTATTGTTCATGTAAAAAAGAAGAAGAAGAAGAAGCACAAAAGAGCTCCAACTTCTCCCCCTTTCCACCCTGTTTCCCTCCCTTCGTCATTCCCTCCCTCCCCACCTCCTCTTCCCTCAATCAGGCTCCTGTGGAGAAAAGAGAGCAACTCCCGTGGTGTGAATCTGGAAAAGAAAACACACGCTAGCACACACAAGTGCAAACTTTCACCCACCCAAACACACATGCACTCACACACACGTGACATGTTGTGACACTTTGCACAGGCCCCCCAGTTTTTCTTTCTGTCATCTTTCGCTCCTGGTACTCTATTCCTTCGTCCAACTTTCTTTCTTTGCAATAACATGCACACGCACACTTCCTGAAGGGAAAAACAAACACGTCTCAAGCTTTTCTACCCATCAGTCAGCCATCCAGGGTGTAACGGTTGACATCAGAAGATTCTTCATCAACATCAAACCTACATCTTGACATAAGCAGGTTAAGAATTGTGTGCACTTGTGTGTTTGTGTGTGCACGGTGGTAAAAACGTTTTGCTAACTGCAGATGAATGCATACTTACTGTAAGGGACACATTCATACTGGATCTCCAGGTACTTGTATGTTCCAGGGCAGGGGTCTGGGAAGACATCGACCCCCGCGACCACCACACACTGAGTCCGGTTGTTGCATCTGCAGAACGTCCGATAAATGGATGGATGAGTCAAAGGGATGGAGGGAGTGGTAAAAAGGAGGGATTAACAGACAGGAAAGCAGAGGCAAAGGATGCTCCATTTGTCTGATCTCCCTCTTGCTGACTATTGATTCGTTCTTCTAGGAAAACAGTGGTGAGTACGCGCACGCAGACAGGCAGAGTTCGCTGCACGTGCACGCTCACATGGCACACAAGCATCGACTTTGTCTTGTGTGTCCTGCCAATCTGCACGTAGTGTATGTACAGCAGCACATGTGCAAAGTGTGAACAAATCAGTAGCTGTTTGTATTGATTGGTTGGGCAGTTTCCAACAAAGCATCATGAATTGCATTTAAAAGTTCTGATTTGTATTAAAAAACACACACACAGGTGTACAAACGTGCACATGTTTACCTCTGGGACATTATCTTAAGCGCGTCAGGGAGGTAACACTGCGTGTTCTCCATCTGAGAGGGGTCTGCATCACAGATCTTGTCGTCGGTGCGTCCGTAGTTGGCGGTCTCCACCATGACCACATCACTTCCTGGGCAGCGCAGCTCTATGGGGTAACCTTCGCACGCCAGCTCCCTGCGCAGCAGCCCGAACGGCATGGCGGCCCGAGACATCGCTGCTCGTGTGATGTGGAGGTAAAACGTAGAGATTGGTGGTTCAGGAACAGTAGAGGAAGAAAGATGAAAAGACAAAAGGAAACAAAATTACAGTATTTTCCACCGTACACGTCGCACCACTCTTTAAGTCGCATCAGTCCAAATATGTCAAATAAAAAGGAAAAAACATAAATAAGTCGCTTCGCCGTATAAGTCGCATCTATTACGCATCATCGCTGACGCGTCGCATTTGTTATTCATCACCACTGACAACCCAGAAATGTGGGATGGTGTTGCGCCAAAAATCGATTGGCTGCCAAATGGCAGCCGCGGGATCGTGCACGGGAGGACCTTAACAAGAATTTAACAAGATTAACACTTAAAAGCAATTATTTGTTTGCTCGAAATTATAGCAAAGATGTTTCTCAGTTGAACTTTTACTTAATAAATGCACTTCAATGGTCAAATTAGCTGAATTTCGTCAGCGCAGAGAAATGCAACTGATTTGACGTTTGCTCCAGGCATGATCCCAGAGCTGGACAAAAGTGGCAGGCTATGGCAAGCCGATTGTGTCATTAATAGACACTTTTACCTATTACATGGCACAATGGCATGCCCAACTCCTCGAGTGCCATCTAGTAGCCGAAAATGGTAGTGTTCAATATTTTCCATGTCACAATTAATGAAAATAGTCATATCTCAGTCAAAAATTGGTTTATAAATATGGAAAAAAAACATAAATAAGTTGCTTTGGCGTATAAGTCACAGGGAGAGCAAATTATGTAAAAGCGTATGAGTTATACGCTGGAAAATATGGTATATTTGTCACTAAGTTATTTGACCACAAATGATTTCACAATATTTTTAAGGAAGCTTTCATTTTGTTGTGGTCCAGTAATTTTGGTGTTTTCATACATTATTGCTGCCTGACGTGTGGGTGATCTTGTGTGTTTGTTTGTTGGCAAAATATCTCAAAAACCTGTGCTCAAATTTTAACAAAACGCTCTGAAAATAAAGGTGTAGCAATTCTTGAAGGAATGCTTATCACCCATTTATTTTTATGTCAGAGATTTAAAATAAGATCAACTTCTGATGAGATACCATAGAGTTGTAGTAAGTTTTGGTCAAACCTTGAATAATTATGATTTTATGTGCAATCTCATTGTGAGGATTTTTGTGTTGCTTGTAACCCCTGTGTCTTTCTGGCTCCTACACACCTGCCCCCTACGCTAATCACCCCAGGTGTCCTTCATTGTCAACCACTTGTGTTCCTATAAATTCAATGTCTTGTCCTCTTCTCATTGTCCGTGGATCGTCCTCTTTGGCGTCAAGTCCTGTTCTCCCTCTGCATCACCTCAATGTGTGTTGTGAATGACTCTCAGCTACTACCACACCAAATTATGGCTCAATATTTTTTAAAAACCAACCGTTACAGCCATTGTTGTGTTGGTTAATGTGGTTTAGCTGTGGCAGCCATCTTGAACTGGGTTGGCTCCAAAAGTTTATCAGTTGTAGATGTTTGTCCATTGGGAGTTCCAAGACAATCATTGCATTAATTCGTAAAATATTTTGCTAACAGACAAATGGTGTTGACTCCAAGTGTTAGTGCTAAAATTTTAAACATAAATCTGGCACGATAAGTAGCACTTGCAGGATATGTTATGAATGACCCTCAGCTATTACCACACTAAACTTTAGCACAACTATAGCCATTTTTTCTTTTTGTGTGTTCCCAGTGGTCATTTGGCTGTGGCCGTCATCTAGAATCAGGTTAACTACAAAAGGTAATCAGTTGTAGATTCCAGCAAGTTTTATTAAAATTTTGCAGAGGGTTCGGGTTCATGGAATGTTTTGCTAACAGATGGACGCACACATGCACACAGAGACATGGGCCAAAACATTATCACTCATCTTCTGATTACGAATAATAAGTACTGACTGTGTCTTTTTTAAATTACACCAGAGCATAAAAAATAATAATAAAAAAAACAAACTGTGAAATAATGTTAGATTATGTGCCAGTCTGTTAACAATTCGTTTAATTTTGATGTAAAATTATCATAAAAGTGTCCCTGGCACTGAGACCAAGTACCCTGCAGATTTTAACTTGATATCAACATTAAGATTCTGGTCGGTGCTCAGTGGATGAGCTGCCACCCACATAACGACTGATAAAATGGATGAGTAACGTCTCTTTTTATCCACACTTTTATGCTCCTGTCAGTTTCAGAGCCTTCGTGTGCCGTGCTTTAATGGGGGGTGCACATGGTTCTAAAGATTATTTTGGGGGGGTTAAGAACATTATTAAGTCCATATCTAGAACAGCAAGCATTTACTTATTATATTTAATAAATACAAGCAGGACCCAGTCTTTTGACTGCTGAATGAAATGAATTCTGATTTGAACCTTACTGAAGACAAAAGTCTAATTTAAGTGATACTAATAAAAATGACACAAAGAAATGGCTGCTTTTCTTTATAATTGTTAAAGATCATGGTTTGAGGGATGACACATATAAAACAAATCCTCACTGAGTTAGGATGCATTTACATGTTAAGTCATATCATGTCATCTTGTCATGTCATGTCACTTTGCATCGTCATGCCATTTCATATCATATATCATATGTCATATCATGTCATCATATCATGTCATGTCATATCATGTCAAATCATGTTGTATCATCTTGTACTATGTCATGTTACATCATATCATATTATGTTGTCAGGTCATATTGAGTCATCATGTCATGTCATTTTGCATCATGTCATGTTATTTCATATCATATATCATATCATGTCATGTCATATCATTTTACATTATGTCATGTCATTTCATATCATGTAATGTCATGTTATGCATGGCATGTTATTTCACGCCATACCATGTCGTGTCATGTCATTTTATATCATGTCATGTCATATCATGCCATATGATATGAGGGCGAGTGGTGGCGCAGAGGTTAGAAGATGGGCTTGTGATCGGAAAGTCGCAGGTTCAGCTTCTGGTACTGTCAACATCAAAATGTGGGTGGAAAAGGTGGAACAGCCACACCTCCCTCCACCCTCATTCGCCCCACTCTGGGCCCCAGAGCAAGGCCCTCAACCCCCACCATCTGCTCCCTAAACAGGTCTCTCTTGAAAATGAGTTCTCATGGCTCAATGAGACTACCTGTATAAATAAAAGGTAAATGAAAATTAAAAAAATATATATCATATCATGTCATCATTTTATGTCATGTCATGTAATTTCATGTCATGTTATGTCATATTATATCATAGCATATCATATAATATCATATCATATCATGTCACGTCATATCATATCATATCATATCATATCATATCATATCATACCATATCATGTCATGTCATGTCATGTTACATCATGCCATATCATTTCATATAATATGTCATATGTCATGTCATATTTTATATTAAGTTAAGTCATGTCATGTCTACCATGTGAAATCCTATCATTTATCATATCATGTCATGTCATGCTCTCTTATGTTATTCACAATATTCTGAACGATAACAGGTCATCTGAGATCACTCGTCTTTAAGTTTGACCAAAATGACTGTAACGCCATCATTTCTTAGTTCAAGTTTTCTGTATGGAAGGCGATGGACAGTATGCAGTCCTTCAAGGAATGCTTGGCCTTTCAGGTTTTTTTAATCTTAGACAACCATAAATTTACTCACTCAGTCATGATTTACTTGTTGTTGCCATAATAGTTTTGTGGTTATTTTGACTCCTTTTCCCACAGTAATTTTATTTTTTAAAAACTTAAAAGCAATGTATTTAAACGCTGAATTTCAGTTAAGTCAGTTTTTGTATTGCATCAGCCGTTCAGTACCATCAGTGAAGACAATGATGCACTCTAATGGCTCCCCTGTGAATGAAATATTAACACTTGGATAGAATTTACCTCACTTGAATCCTCCTCAAACTTGTATTTACTAAAATGAAAACATTTAATGAAAATGAAATATGTTCTGGAATTGTCAACACCTATAAAGTCATTATTAAAAGAAATGCGGGATGATGTTGTCACAAATCACATCACACCTCCACTGGGACACCTGCATGTGATGAGATGTGGTTTTATCACAGTTGAAATTATCGTGTGAGAATCCAGGTGAAAGCTGTCTGGCAAATTTAGAAATGTACTTTCTTTCCTTTGAGTGCTAAATCTTAAAATGTTAACCAGTTTCTCCACGCAAAGAGAATAAGCTGAAGAAAATCCAATTAGTGTTGCCTTAATTCAGTCAGCTCATACATCATGCAGCACGTGGTAGGGTGCAGGCTCTACCAGATGAAATAGATCTAAATAAACCATAATTCTATGTTAGCATGCTGCTGGATAACTGTGGCTGTCCATGGTGTCTTAGAACGAGCTTAAATGTGTTCAGATGTCGACATTTTCTGTTTTTTATGTTTTAGTCAGATAGTTTAGTCTTTATATAAAAAAAAGACAGCACATTTTTAATCCCTAACAATCTACTACATAAATATATTTTAAAAAAGGGTTTCTCCTGCACCTGCATGAGCAGCTGCTTTAGCTTTTCTATGATGTATTCTGCTAAATCACACATGGCAACATATGTCCTTGTGTTATTAAACACAAAACGAGTAAAACAGAATAAACCAAACAGCAGTGTCAATGCCCACAGCCATAAAATGTGTGTAATCATGCTTGTGTTCATTAGATTGTCTTTTTTTTTTTTTTTTTAGCAAAATATCTTGTACATCACTGGATAAATTTCTATCAAACTCTCAGATTATAATCACTAGATGTACATTTACAGATAATTTAACTTTTGGTTAAAGTATGGCTGCCATAGCTAAATGCAAAATGTGTCTAAAATTCAGTCAGTTTTGGAGTGGGGGTCACACCAGATATTGAAAGCAAAGGTTCACATACTTTTGCTGCTCACAAATATGTAATAATGGATCCATTCATCCATCCATCCATCCATCCATCCATCCATGCTGGAAGTCATACCCAACACATTAACAGATTGCCCAAGATCATTGTTTAAAACTTTAGCATTAACTGTTGGAGTCAACTCTGTCTCTGTTAGCAAAATATCTCAAAAGCAACAAACAGATGTCACTAAAACTCTTTGAACATATTCATTGGATTTACAGTGGTGCTTGAAAGTTTGTGAAATTGTGATAATTTTCTATATTTCTGCACAAATATGACCTAAAACATCATCACATTTTCACACAAATATTAAAAGTAGATAAAGAGAAGCCAGTTAAACAAATGAGACAAAAATATTCTACCTGGTCATTTATTTATTGAGGAAAATGATCCAATGTTACATATGTGTGAGTTGGTTAAAGTATGTGAACCTTTGCTTTCAGTATCTGCAGTGACACCCTCCCCCCGTTCAGCAATAACTGCAACTAAAAATTCCTGTAACTGTTGATCAGTCCTGCACACCTTGGAGGAACTTTAGTCCATTTCTCTGTGCAGAACAGCTTCAACTCTGAGATGTTGGTAGGTTTCCTCACATTAACTGCTGCTTCAGGTCCTTCCACAACATCTGGATTGAATTAAGGTCCGAACTTTGACTTGGTCGTTCCAAAACATGAACTTTATTCTTCTTGTACCATTCTTTGGTAGAACGACTCGTGTGCTTAGGGTCATTGTTTTGCTGTATGACCCACCTTCTCTTGAGTTTCAGTTCATGGACAGATGTTCTGACATTTTCTATTAGAAATCTCTGATATAATTCAGAATTCATTGTTCCATCAATGATGGCAAACTGTCCTGGCCCAGATGCAGCAAAACAGGCCCAAACTCGTACTTTTGCCACTCACAAATATGTAATATTGGATCATTTTCCTCATAAATAAATGACCAAGTATAATATTTTTATCTCATTTGTTTAACTGGGTTCTCTTTATCTACTTTTAGGACTTGTGTGAAAATCCGATGATGTCATATTTATGTAAACATATAGAAAATTTGAAAGGCTTCACAAACTTTCAAGCACAACTGTACATCTACAGTGAATTACCTTTTGAAGGCAATTCATTTCAAGATGGCTGCCACAGCAAATCAAACTTAGTCAACACAAAAATGGATACAAATGTTAACTTTATACATTTTAAGCTACAATTTTGTGTGGTCGTAGCTGCGACTCATTCTCACATTTTTAAACAGATATTCTCTAATCTTTAAGTTTGAATAATAATAAAATACAGATTATAATGAAACTCAGTTGAGTTGGACTCTATTCTTGTGTTTTAATGTAAATGTGACCTTTCAGTTGCTATTAGTAATTCATTGTGGGCCTCAGGCTAAACGTTGTCCACTTCTGCTCTAAACTGATGCTACCTCTGCAGGGTGACACTTACCTTGACCAGAGGGGGCAACGTGAGCCAGAGCGAGCAAGCACACCCCAGTGAACCACACTAACACCGCCATGCTGGACAGGAAGAGTTAGGACTTCACACCACCCGCTGCAACACGAGAGCCTGGGGAGGTAGCAGAAAGAAGAACGGTAAAAACGAGAGCGAATAGCTGCATCCTCTTATCTCAATGCACATCTGTATCTGTGTGTGTGCACGAGGCACGGTCAGCAACCGACAGTGAGAGCGTGCACGTGAGACAACTCAGCAGGGTAGGAGGGGGACAGAATAATAGGCAGAGACAGACAGAGCGAGAGAGCAGAACAGAGATAACAGCTGAACAATCCGTGCAGCGAAAAGTCACTCAATCTGCTGTTACCATGGCGATATCGCAGACTCAAGGAGCAAGACGGAGGCAGAAAACCAGGAGATGGGCTGGTGTTCGTGTGTGGACGAGTGTGAGCTTGTGCTTTAACTCTGCAATTAGCCGGAGGCAGTGTTGGCCACTAACTCATGAACGAGTCTTAATCCTCACCCTTTCAAACACTCACACACACGGACAGAGGCAGACAGCCAAGCTCAGCTTAGGCCACTTTTCATTAATCCTAAATAAGTGATGCTGTAGAGGCGATCTCGTTGACAGCAGGAGTAACGAGGTAAACAGCTGACTGAAGGTGCAGGTGAACATACGGGCTGCAGGCAGACGAGCTACACGAGAACAACAGTAATACGACTCCAATATAGTCTGAACTCTTGGCCTCTGACAGAACGGAGGATGGAGGCTCAACCACAACAAGAACTGTATTACATTTCTTCTTCCTGCTTAGCATAGCAATCAGCTGGCTGCTGCAGCGTGCACTGAAGACTTAGCATGTTGGCTGTAGTGTGCGTGTGTGTGTGTCCTTGTTTTGTTGTTGATGCCTCATTAGGATTTTTTCCACTATAATCTCTCTGCCCTTGTCAGGGACAGTAGTCCTCATGGGCATCAAAGTCCAGTTTTAATGAGACAAAACCGTTTCTGAGATCCTGATTAAGATAAAGGTGCAAACTGAATAGTTTATTATTAGACAGATAATGGTAAAAATGACTGTCAGGCTTAGATTGCAACAAAACAATGAAAAGCAGCACAATACGGGAGATTGTTTTTGTGTGTATAAAGAAAAAAAAAACTTTGTTTGTGAGTATCCATTCAATTCAATTCATTTTATTTATATAGCACCAAGTCACAACAGAATTCTTCTCAGTGCACTGAGCAGAAACATTCATATATATATATATTTATATATATATATTAGAGGTGTAAATCACTACCTTCACCACGATACAATATTATATTGATTTGTTTGTATGACGATACGATTTTTCTCGATATCACAAAGTCTGTCACGATACAGTTTTGATTCTATTCAATTCACAAGTCTGCAATCGATATATTGCGATATCAAATGCCTATCTCATTTATACATAAATACATTTACAAAAGCAATTCAAATATGATTGAACCATTTTATTTCTGTTATTACAGGCACCAGGCTTTTAAATTAAAAAAACGTTTTTCTTAATTAATGAAAAAAAAGAAGACCTGTTCAGTATAGGCTCACATTTCTAATGTTTAAGTGCATTTTTTAAATCAGTTGACCTAAAAGTGCCCTGATTACTTTTCAGTTATAAAGAAACGAAAATAGATATTGAGCTTTCTTCTTTAGGTGAATGGCCAAATTTGTTGTTTCCCCGAGTATTTGAACTCACACTGGCACCTGTTGTATACGACGAGTTTTATCTGTTGAGCCGTCCTTCTGTCGGAATCCACAATATTTCCACAGTGTTGATTTAAATCCAGCAGGAGAGTGAAGTTCATTATCTGTGTTTTCTGCCTCGTCTGCCATGTTGCTGAGGCGGCCGCAGAGCGCAGCCGCGCACGGACATGGTGACACAGACGTGCCTTGGGAATTTCAAAATAAAAGCGTATTTTAAAGATGACGATTTGAATCGATGTTTTAGTTTTGCCACAATATAATTGAATCATTAATCATTCAATCGACATATCGATATAAATCTATGTATTGTTACACCCCTAATATATATATATATATATATATATATATATATATATATAGATAGATAGATAGATAGATAGATAGATAGATAGATAGATAGATA